GGAGAAGGACGTCACTTTAAGCACCCACTAGACCTGCGCTTGGCTGGATCTGTGAGTCTGGGGTGCTCTGAAATGCAGCACCTAATGCCTGCCTTGAACCCACACCTGCTGCAACAGCCGCAGCTGCATCTGCAGGACAGCGGTACCACCCTCATTACCTGACCTTTGCCAGGTGGATCATGCCCATGAAGCACAAACGCAACTCACTCATCAATGGTGACCTGCCAGTAAAGCTCCTGGGACACTGGTGCCCATGAAATCTCCCCTTGGTAGAGCTGAGTGTTAACTCCTCCAAGAACAAGCTCTCCCCCGTAGTTGTAGGTGGGCTGGCTGCAAAAAAAAAAAAAAAAACCAAAAAAAACAAAAAACAGTTACAGCAGCAGAGATTGGTAAATCCATGCAATTTGCATGGGCTAGGGAGGGAAAAAAATCAAGAGGAACCTGCACAGGGACAGGCAGAGCGACACTGGTGCACATAGGATGTGCAGAGAGCCCCAGCAGATTTTTTTACCGAGAGAAGTAGAAGCTGAAGATGGGCTCGGTGAGCTGGTTCTGCTGCAGCATGCCCTGCAGTGCGGTGGGTGTCCCTCCCACTGCCAGTGAGGGGTAGGCCATTCCCAGGATCCCATCAAAATCAGCGTAGTAGAAAGGCTGGGCTGGCTCGCTCTCGCTGAGCCCGAACTCCTGGTTTGTGACCGTGATGCTCTGGATCTGGAGGCGAAAGGGAAGGCAGGTCAGCCTGCGTGCTTAGGCAAAGCCATCGAGTGGGATGGTGGATGTTCTGAAAGCCCAAAGAGCAAGCTGCAAGGTCACAGCCGGCCAAAATGTCATCAGGCAGCTGTGAAAATTCGCAGGAATTCGGTTAAAACTAAATAAAAATCCAGTTGCGTAACTGACGGAGGCAATAACCACTTTATATTGGTTCTGCCCGTCTCAGGCCCTGGTTTGCTCAAATCTTGTCTACACAAATTGTGAGATCTACCCTTAGATTGTTCCCCAGGCTCCTTTAATCGGGGCGCCCAGGAAGACAAGGACAGCACAGGGTGCACTCACCGTCAGTGTGTCGTAGCCCAGCACCACTGTCAGCGAGCCGCTGCCGTAGGAGATGCTGTAGGACTGGCCGTTGTTGACAAAGGTGGAGGATGCGCTGGGGTTGAAGGTAGCGTGGTTGTCTGTGTGAGAGAGAAGAGGGCAAAGCTCCTGAGCGGGTGCTCGCCTGGCTGCCGTGGGACTTCACCGCCGGTTGCTCCGTTGGGATAACGTTTGGGAAAGCAGCTTCCCCGGCAGAGAGCAAGTCATGAAGAGCAGAACGGGCTGTTCCTCTGCCGTGAGGTTATCTCTGAGGCAGGGTTGGCATCTCGGATTTGCCTGCATCCCTCTCCAGGGAGCAGCTGTTGCGATAACAACCACATCACCCACCCAGCGCGAGCAAAGCCGCCAGCAGCTGAATCCCCATCGCGAGTCACGGCGGAGCGAGCTCTGCTAAGGAGAGGGACATCAGCTCCACGATCCGTAGCTTTGCTTTTCCCTCCACCCAGTCATGAAAAAAATCAGTCACGAAAAATCAGTCCCAACCACCGGGGTGTCTGTGCTCTGGGGACACCCGCAACGATTTGGCCACCTTCATTAGCTGAGAGGAGCGTAAGCACAGAGGGATGGCCATTTCCCAAGCCAAGGCACCAGTCGATACCAAGGAGCAGCTGTCCCAGAGCAGCGCGCCGTGATCATTTGTGCTCTCTCAGCAGGATTTCCCCATCCCATCCCCAGGATTTTCGGGCTGTCGAGGGTGGGTGGGTCTGCGCCGCGTGGCTGCGGTACTCACAGCACGCCTGTGTCTGGCAGTAGGTGGAGGGCACCCACAGGTTGGAGGAGCCGGTGTCAAAGAGCACCAGGAAGTTGTGTGGGGGGGTCCCGATGCTGATCTCACCGAAGTAGGAGGACTGGAGGTAAGAGATGAGGAATCTCCGTTGGATGCAGGGTCAGCCCAAGCTTTCGCCTCCCAGCCTGCACCAGCACCTCAGTGCTTTGCCGGGCATTGGGAACGCCAGGCTCATCTTGCAAATAAGAAACTAGGCAGGAATGGTCTGAACTCTCAACCCCGCTTTTTCTCCCAGAAGATGTAGTATTAGATATTTCGTTTGTTATGTGATGCAGAAAAGCATCATGTTTCACAGCTGGGGGAAAACTTTCCTAAAGACTAAATAGAAACTTAAAAAAGAATGAGGAAAAAAGCAACCTCTACTGGAGGGTTGGGACAAACAAATCACTTTGGCAGCTGGGAAGGAGGAGGGAAAGGGGAGCGTGATGTACAGACAGGCACTGGGAGGGGAACCTGGGGTACTCACGTCCAGGTGGCTGGTGATCGGCTCGTTCACAACATAGTCTCCACTGAAGCGGTATTTCTTAGCTGGATCATAATTAACTTTCTTCAGGTAGTCATCCAGCACTCCAGCCTCCCTCATCTTCTCCCTGATAGACTTGGCTTTCTTCAGCTGGATTCTGCAGAGAGGATAAAAAAAAAAAAATAAAATCAAGAAAACACAGCAGAAAATCAGAAGATTTGGGCATTTTCAAATGCTCAAGTTCTCTGCACCCCTTTGAACCTGCGTTTGGCTGCCCATGAGGGATGCAGCCTGGACCAGGACCACAACGATCTGGGCAGATGCAGGAGGCTGGAGCCACAGCTGGTCACACTCGGTCAGCATCCTCAGGGGTGCAGCGCAGCCCGTGCAGGTCACCAGAGCAGTCGGGCTCTGGTACCTGCCCTCTCCCCGTTCTTTCTGCCACAGCAGTTGCTGCAGGACACTCACCTCACCAGCCCCTCCGAAAGCTGGAGGCACATCAGGGCCAGCACGAGCCACTTCATGGTGCAGGAGTCGTCTACCAGTCCACGCGCACCTTCTCGGAGACCACAGCCGATGGAGCGAGCTGCCCAGCCTCCCCGCTTTTATACTGAGAAGCAGTGACCCCCCCCCTTATCTCCTTATCTCCTGACCTCTCTTTTCCGCTACCACCACGCGCACCCCCAGCTTCAAGGGTTTCTTTGTATTTCGGGTCACGAGGATTTGGAGGAATTTGTGTCCTTAGCTCAGGTGTGAACAGCGCAACGCGTGTCTTCGATACCGAGATCAAAGCATTACCACCCAGTAAGAGGCCAGCTCTTATCACGGCAAAGAGAGGAGTGACCCAAACGTGACGGTGGTGAGGCGTTATCTGTGTTCGTCAAAACCTGTTCAAACCTTTTCCCAAAACAAAAGGCGCCCGCGGTTCTTGGCGCAGGATGGAACTGCGTCGGACTTTTGTTGGCCACTCTTCCACCCAGCTGACCTGCAGAGACCTTCTGGCGTGCAGGAGGAACGGCTGCTGGTGTCAGGGTTTCTTCAGGGCGCGGTGCAAACGGCTGGAGGCAGCTGCTTTGCTCCTTGTCCCAAGGGCTTGGTGAGCCCATGAGGTTTTTTTCTCTGGTTTTCTCGTACCACACTGTTCTGCCTTCTGGCTCGTCCTTCTCCACCTGCAGTGCTGTGTCCAGCTCTGGGGCCCTCAGCACAAGAAGGACGTGGACCTGCTTGAGCAGCTCCAGAGGATGTCATGAAGATGCTCAGGGGGCTGGAGCATCTCTCCTACAAGGACAGGCTGAGAGAGTTGAGGCTGGAGAAGAGAAGGCTCTGGGAAGATCTCCCAGTGCCTGAAGGGGCTACAGGAAAGCTGGGAAGAGACTTTTTACAAGGGTGGGTAGTGATGGGACAAGGGATAATGGCTTTCAGCTGAAAGAGGGGAGATTTTGACTGTGAGGGTGGTGAGACACTGAAACAGGTTGCCCGGAGAAGCTGTGGATGCCTCATCCCTCGGTGTCCAAGGCGGGGTCAGACGGGGCTTTGAGCAGCCTGGTCTGGTGGGAGGTGTCCCTGCCCATGGCAGAGGGTTGGAACTGGATGATCTTTAAGGTCCCTTCAAACCTAAACTATTGCACAATTCATCAGCCTCCCAGTCCTTCGCTATCCTCTCCTCCAGGTACAGCTCATTTCCATGTGTCACACACCCCAATCCTGCTTCTGTTTTCATACTATTTTGGACAGAAGTCATGTATCTTTTTTTTTTTTAATTTATTTTATGGAGCAACTGATACCCTTTCCATCCAGCATTAAAAAGCATGTGCTGTGTCTCTACATGGGGGAGGTTTATCCCCCCCGTAGAGGATGCCCTTGGGGTTTCACCCACCCACCGGGTCCTCACACCAGCCCAGAAAATCAGGAAATTCCTTGTCTGCCTTTTTTTTTTTTTCCTGTGAAAAAAAAAGAGAAGCACAAACACAGCCTTCCCAATTTGCCAACAAACACCTAAACAGTCCAAAACATTTTGGGTCATAACCTAAATATTTCCCAGCAAGCGGACTAAATTGTTTTTTGGTCATAACGTAAATATTTTCGAGCAACTAGACCAAAACATTTTTGCCTAGAACTTAAACATTTTCTTGCAAACGGACCAAAATGTTTCCAGTTACAATCTAAATATTTTCTAGCCCTCCTCCGCCGGGGGGTTTTGCATCCCCGCCCTGAGCAGCCTGTGCTCTTCGCAGCAGGGAAATCACCCTCTTCATCACCCACCCAGAGCCCGGCATCGCTATCGCTGCGCTCATCCCGCGTCAACGCTCGGCACAGACTTTATTCCCCTGGGAACACCAGGGAGTGTGTGTCCTTTGCTGGATATTGAGACTATAATAAAGCAATTATCTTGTTTGCTAGCGGGATTGATAGAAAGATCAACTTATTAAGATTGGATAAAAAGCAAATTCTGGCTGAAAGCAAAGAGCAGTTATCAAAACGTCAATATACCGAGTGTTATCTGCAGGTCCCCACGGGGACTCAGCCTCGCCAAAAGACAAAGGATTAAGGTGCCCTCTACAGCACACACAAACACATTCTACTTTTGGCAATTCTTGACCCGAAGTCACACAGCACTTGTTTGCCGAGGCGTTTAGTCTAACAGGAATCAAGGATTTACGGTTTCTCACACCAGAGATTCCGTGTCCCTACACAAAGACAAGACTCAACCAACAGCCCCGCGCTGGTTTTGGCTGGGACAGAGTTAATTTTCTCCCTAAGAGCTGGTCTGGGGCCGTGTTTTGGATTTGTGCTGAAAACAGTGTTGATAACAGGGGGATGTTTTCCTTACCGAGCTGCTTACACAGCCTCCAGGGCTGTTCTGCTCCTCCCCAGCGAGGGGGCTGGGGCTCGGGAGGGGACACGGCTGGGACAGCTGACCCCGAATGACCACAGGGATACTGCAGACGTCCCGCTCAGCATGTAAAGCTGGGGGAAGAAGGAGAAGGGGGGGCGTTGGGAGCGATGGCGTTTGTCTTCCCAAGTCACCGTTACCCATGACGGAGCCCGGCTCTCCTGGGGGCGGCGGGATGCCTTCCTGCCCAG